CAGTTTATGAACGAAGTGAGGAATTTCATCATCATTTCATAAACATTTTCTTCTAAACTATTTTTTTAAAATAAGCCTTTGTTTTAATAATTTAAATCCACTAGCAGATCATGGCTATTACGTAATATGGTGGTAATTTTTAAATGTTTATAAAAGTCTAGCGTTGAACTACCTATATTACTCTTGGGATATTGATATATTATATGTAATATCATATATATATNACAAAATCCAGCTCAATTGCTTACAGACATTGAACCATGACATAAATTAACCCTCTAAGAGCCAATCTCTGATTTTTCGAGCTTTCACATGCAGGTAATATATAATATTTATAATATCAATTTAAAAAAGTAAGTGTTATTAGGAACTACGATTTTTCTTAAAGAAGGAACATTTCTTTAATTTTTTATTTTTATTTCTAATGGCAAGGTAAAAATAAAAATAAATGAACAGGAACAGAAGTAAAGATGACACAACAATAAATTGACAGAAGTCATTGCCTCATAAGTTCTCTGGCCTTCCAATAAAGCCCAATCTCGGAGTAGCCCCTAAGGACTGCACAGTGGTGGAGGTTGGTGTCTATTCATAAGGGTATTAGAGTTGCAGAGGGAGCAGTAGGGGCTTGAGAAGATCCGAATACGGTGAAGGTGATCTACAAGGCAATCATGTCCGGTTAGTAGACGGAATTGGGCCACAGCATGCCGACGAGGACTGCCAGAAACCCTCAAAAGATATTCAGCTTTCCAGCTCTTAGATTTTACTCTGTCATTTATTTGCTCACTGAATTGACCTTGTAAAGTTTGCTTTAAATAAAGCTTCGCAGAATGAAAAGAAACTGGAGAGGAACTCGATTGAAGAAACCTCGAGCCCTTTTTTTGCCAAGGCATCTGCTTGCTCATTTCCAAAGAGGCCGCAGTGGCCCGGCAGCCACTTAAGAATCACACGTTTCTGTTTTTGACACAGTTCTTGTAGATGTTGCCGACACTGGTTGATTTAATTTGTTGCAGCCATACCAGCTGAACTGATCGCCTGAGTTGCAGCTTGGGAGTCAGATAAAAGAACCACTTCGCAAAATTTATCTTCGAAAGTTATTAAGTGCTTAAGAGCAATGCGAATGGCTTCAACTTCACCATCGAAGGCAGTTCGGTGTTTCCCTGCGGAGGCATAAAAGGAGAATAAGTTCTAAAAAGCCCCGCCGAGTCGAGGTTAACATAAAAAGAGCCATCTGTCTATAAGCACAACCACTCCGGTTCTGGGTACCTCTTGTCAATAGTTTCTAAAGCATAAGACTTTAGAACCTCTGGAGAGTTGTCTTTCTTGAGAAGCCTGACAGAAAGACTCAGGTTTGCTTCGTCTTGGACCAAATCCAGTGGATTTGGAGGCTTTGCAATCTCTACAATGTCAGCTGGCAAATCAAAATTCTGCCTGAGGTGCCGAACAAACTAGACAAAGCCTTTTTGAGTTTTTAAATTTCTAGCACTTGTTGGGTGATCTCTCCAAAAAGAATTTGTTCTAATTAGCTTTTCATGAGGAATCAGAGCTTTTTCTTTAATTACATCACTAATAGGTTTATTATACGTCAGCAAGAGCATTACATCAATCGGGGTAGATTTGACTGCTCTAACAACGAGTCTCAATGATTGGTTTTGTGAAAGTTCTGGTTTCTTCAAGACATCATTACTTGCGGTAATTGGGGGTTCGTAGCAGTATGTAATTAAAGGCAGGATAAAAGTCTTATAAGTTATGTTTAAGGTTGAAAAGAAAGAACATATTTTATTTTAAATATAATTGTATCATGCGTATGTCATCAAAAATTAAATTTTGTATAGTTTTATTTTTAAAAAAATCTTAACTAAGTAGCTAACTTATTCTAAGTAATGCATTTTTCTAATTTAGCGTAATTTGCTAAAAGGGATTAGTAATTTGACGAAAGACATTGTCTTAGCTATTTTCTCTTTCCTCCTAATAAAATGGTGGGTTTTAACACTTATGATGCATTAGCGTAATTCGCTGTCTAAAAAACGCTTCTTTTGCGAAATTAAATGGTTTAGAGCTATTGAATTACCTCTCAAAACTTAATTTTCTTCTGTATTGTTTTTAGGAAATTTCCATTAACTTAGTGCTTACATAATGCTTATACGAGAGTGAAAGATGTTTTCTAAGTTTGGTTTTATGTTTTAAAAATGTTGAATTTTTTTACTGGGAATTTTTTTTTAGATTAGTGTAGTTGGAAACTTGAATTTTTTTCGTTTAATAAGGAAGTATATTTTCTAAAGATATTGTAGTTTTTGACAAAAAGTTAAATTGATATGAATCCAATCTGAGTACATCATACACGGAGAAAAAAATTCTGGTAAAATTACCGCACTGTGTGCCAAGGGTATTTCTAGTAAAAAAAAACACAGTTGTCTTAGGAAAAATCAAATATGCGGTCATATGATAATGGTTTACCGGAAATTCTGCTTTTAAAAACTATAGTTCATACTACCTCTCATAAAGCAAAGCAATATAAAATATAAAACAGACTAAATTTAAACGAGTTAGTGTTTTTTTTCAGCCATGCTCTAAGGTTTCATGATAAAATTCCCAAATTTTAAAACATTTACCAAATTTTATCGCATGTTTTGAAACCATATTTTACGGTTAATTTTTCAAACAGTCATTACTAAAGCACTTCTGTGAAAATTACCGGACGTTTTAGTTTTCCAATATAGCCTGTTAGTCAGTAATTTTGACCCGGATTTTTTCTGAGAGTAGGCGCTTCTGTGAATTAAAATAATTGTTTCACATGTTAAATATTCACATATAAAATAGTATTCAGTTTTTATAATTTGCAATCAAGTTCCAATCAATACATATACAGTTCAGCTTTTACTTATTAATGTACAATATTTTAGCAAAAATATTAATACTATAGCTAAAAAAACAGTTATTGCAAATATTTTCCTGATGATATCATACAATACTAAGTTTAGAGGAATAAATTAAAAACATACTAATATATGTTCTATCTATTACCCAAAATACTCATAAATATCTAAAATGATAGTTAAAAAACACTCCTTCTTCTATTATAAACAATTTGTACGAGGAGGATTTAGTTACTTGCTAAATCTGATTCACTATATCAAATAAAATTTAATCATTGCAAAAGTAGAGTTAAATAAACAAAATCCAGCTCAATTGCTTACAGACATTGAACCATGACATAAATTAACCCTCTAAGAGCCAATCTCTGATTTTTCGAGCTTTCACATGCAGGCTTTCCTGCCGAAAAAAAAGCGGTTTCTTTATGTAATTAAATGGGAACAATAGTGCGTTTGCAGGAAATTTCTTGTAGAATTATCCCAGGGGTGATCGCTTGGTGGAATAAACATTAGAACTTTGTGATTTCTGTTTGTTGAGTTTAATGATTCGTCAGATATAAATTTGAAACTGTTCTTTGGTATTTTTTAAGACCTTACATCTAAAAATGTTTTCAAAAATATATATTAAGAACGGTAACTGTGGAAGAGTGCTAATGATTTTGGAATTTGTGATAAGTTAAATTCTTCATTAATGATGCATCTAATTTTGATAACGCCTTTATTTTTTTCTCGCTTAAATATTAATTTGTCACTGTTGAGCAATTTTATTTTTGCCAAGAATTCTAAAAGTACATGTTAAGAAATGTTATTGCTGAAAGACCTGCTAAGTGTTTTAAAGGGTGTCATTATATTCAGGACGTTTTTGTTTTAAAAATAAAAATAAGGAAAGTAATTTTTCGTCACTTTGCACGCACAGTTAATTAGAAATCTATACTTTATTTTACAAAAATTAATAATATCATACTGTTTTTTTGCTATTTCAAAAAAATTAATAATAATTCTCAATTTATCATTATAATAAATCATTAACGGTTTTTATTTTTGTATAGTTTTTTTTAAAAATTTATATTATTAAATATAAATTAACTTATTAATTATTGCTAAATTGATATTACTTGCTAAATTATGACACGAATCCCTGTGGGAAACTAAGTGTATTCATTACTTTTATAACAACATAATCTCTACAAAAGAAAAGTGTCTGATGGATTCAAATAATAAGCATAGATGAAAAAGGTGTATTAGGAAAAAAAATGCGCCTCTCTTTGCATAAAATTTTTCCTAACTTGAATGATGATTCGGTTTAAAGGATGAATATTTTCAGCGTGTTTGAAATTCTAAAAGTAAGCAATTTTTCGGTGATAGGAATTAATTTGGAGATGGAAATGTTAGTTTGGCAATTTTAAATTTTTGTTACTTAAAAAAAGCGTTGTTTAGAAAAAGCGTTAAAGGCGGTCATAGTATTAAGTTCCGAATCAAATTACAGTAAAATGTACCAGCACTTTGGATGCATCATCAGTAAAAAAGTATTTTCACAGTAAAATATATCGTAAGTTTTACAATAATATTTATTTATTTAGAGTGATTCATAGATTTTACTGTGATTATAATGGAAAAAAATTACGGTTTATTAGTTTTTTGTTCCATAACGATCTGAGATAAAAGTAGATTTTACGGTAAAAAGTTCCAGAACCTGGAGTACCGGTACGTTTTATAGCAATTTGATAAGTTTTTTTTTTTTGCAGTAAAGTAGTTTGCTTCGTCATCTGCGCTAAAATTGATATTATAATTTGAAATTGCAAACTGTACAGGCATATAATATTAGTTAGTTCATTTCAAAATATTTAATAAGAAGATACGTAGAAATAATTGTTAACCACAATTAAATTTTCTCACTCAAACAAAGCGCTATAGATAGATTTTTTTTACGATATTAATCGTGGAAATGGAAATAGAAAAGAATGTTTCAAAGAAAGCATTTTTTAAAAATAGATTTCAGTTTACTTTTCCTCAAATCTAAAAGTTGATCTACAGAACTTGTAGTTGACGTTCTGTTCATTAAGCTTATTTTGCAGCTTTGGGCTGAAAGGAAACTTAATGATAAAAGTAAAAATCAAATTCGTTATTCAAATGTATTGGATTATTAGAATCCTTAGAAGAACTCAAAGAAGAATTCTTCTACGAATTATTCGGGGATATAGAACTGTTAGTTATGATGCGGTCTTTGTTATCGCTGGTCTTCCGCCTATTGATTTAATTATCATAAATAATCTTGAATTAAAGGAGAAGATAAAGGACAACGATTGTCTAACCCTGGACGGGAAGCTTCCTATTTCATGTTTGCCCCACCCAGCATGCAGGAAACCTGTTATTATTATTCCTTATGTAAATAATGTTTTTCAGGAATATAAAACTATCTGCTTTACGGATGGTAGTAAGCTTGATGGAAGGGTTGGTCTTGCTTTTGTAATTTATGAAAATAGAACAGAGAATGTTACTGCCAAGCACCGACTACATAATGAATGTACTGTTTTCCAGGCTGAACTTTTGTGTATAAACCTGGTTGTTAAGTGGATACAAAATTCTTTTAGTGAAAATCAAATTTTTAAATATCTCATTTGTACAGATTCTCTTTCTTCACTTTTTCTTTTGCGTGACACGACTTCTACTGAGAAGCTTGTGGTGGAAATTCACTCGATTTTGAACGCTCTTGAAAACGTAACTATTCATTTTTCTTACGTTCGTGGCCATAGCGGTATTTTGGGCAATGAAAGAGCAGACCAATTGGCTAGGGAAGCTACGTGTGGTGAAATAGACTTAAGGGTGTCTGTTCCAGCTTCTCACTGGAAGCGCATCGCTAGAGATAAAATCATTGCGGACTGGAATGCTGAATTTCTTGCTTCGCCTCGGTCGCTTTNATAAAAATCATTCATAAGAATTTCAGTTGAATCAGTTTTGCATAGTAATATTAAAATAGGTCAGGCCAGTGAATAGTGAATTTCATGAATTTATTTTTAGCTCAGTTGGACACTTATTTAATAAAAATTAAAATACTTAAAAAAATATTCGCCAATTGCATTGTTCAAATCAACAGATTATTTCTTTTTTTTATATATATAATAAAATTTTTGAATTTATTTATGTTTTGATAAAACAAAATATTCGTGAGTAACTATTTGAATTAACCCTGTTGAATATGCACTTGTAATGAATAAAATGGCTTACTTATGTAAGAGAAAAACTATTTGTGATAAATATAATAGCTATTGTAAAATAAAAAAAATATATATTAGATGAATTATATATTATCATGTTCATTTTATTAAAAAAATATCTCTATGTCACTTAAGGAATTCTAATTACCTGGCACCTAAGTCACTTTAAATCACTTTAAATCATTCCGCACAGATGCCTCCATGCAAAACAACAGCAACAATGAGACAGTTAATGAAATTTTTAATTAAAGAAAAAATATAGATTCTGAAATCTTTAATTCTCAAACACTCATACCAAACTAACTTCTATAGGATTGGAATATCAGACTAACATGGTTTCATAAGATAACAAAAGTGTGTTATTGTGTGTTTATTATTTTTCTTCTTAAAAATAAATCTGGGTGAAATTATGTTACACTACTATAAGTACTGATTAAGAATCACTTTGGGATAGCTTAATCCGTATAATACATTTTTATAACATGTTATTCCCTATTGTGTTTTTGTGTAGATGTTAATATTCCATATTTAAGTATTGTTATCTTATTTGAAATGTGCAACATTTCAAAAAAAAAAAAATAGAGAGTTAATTATTGATATTTATGAGTACTTCAAAGTAACTTAACTAGCTTGAAGCTAATTTAAATTGTAAAATTTAAGTGTGCATAAGGGTTTATAAAATATATCATTATTATTATCAGTATTATTTAAAATACAGTTCTGGTTTAGTTTAAGAACATTTGTACAATAATACAATACAACTACAATAATTTTAAAAATGCACTTCAAATATATATAAATAGTATATCAATTTATGGCAAACAGTATAAAATCAATTTTCTTTTTTTGTAATAATGCAATTCTTGCTAATGATCAACCCAAAATATTAACGGTACCATAAATAATGTTAAAATGACCAATTAAATCATACAAAATTGAAATTCTTTCTATGAATCAATATATGATATGAATATTTTAAGTTCTGTTATTCTTAATTAGATTGCAGAAATTAATTTTTGAAAATAAATCTATAAATAAGTAGAATGCCAAACACCTCACGATCCGTAAATACCAGATACCTAAAGAAACTTCACATGCAAATTACACCTAACCAACACTATCATCATTTCTTGTTTTGCTTTGAAGAAATTGTCTGTTATAAGAATACAAGAGTTGAATAAATTTTTCAAATTAACAAAGTTTGCTTACTGGTCAAATCAGATGCAAAAACACTAAAGCTCCCGTAACATCATAAAACAAAACGCAAGGAAGTCTAAAAACATTCCTTCTAATTTACCAAAAATATTTTCTTTGAAAACCAAAGTATATTTGAATCATTCTGTTCAGACGTTAAAATAGTTTAATTCAAGAGTTAGCAATTTAAATCTTAACTCAAATATCATTTAATAAAATAATAAATGGGAATAATAAAAACTCTTAAATGTTACTGCTAAGAATAAATAAAAATTCCTTAAAATCACTGAAAACATCGTTAATGTTCACTAATAAAATATGTAACATTCGATTTTTTTTTATAGAAAATAAAATATGGAAAAATTGATTTGACTTATCATTTCTTTTGTATATTAATTAATTACAAATCCTCATCACTGAAATAAAAACATAAACTAAATTATTCAAATCCTGTGAAAATATATTAGTTTCAGAATTCAAGTTAGTTCCAACAATAATTCAAATATCAATAAATTCTTCACCTGTATAAACATCACCAAAAGGCTAATAATAAAATCAAATATGCCGCTTAACTGGATAAATTACAAAATTTCAGGTTGTAATTAAATAAAATTAAAAAATTTCTATTATATTTTTAACTTAAAAAAAAAAAGATTTTAAGTCAAATGCTCTATCAATTTGTCATACAAAAATTAAAATTCAATTAAATGTTGTAAACATAAAATATAATGAATTATAATAAATACCAAAAAGGATACAAACTGAAGAACGTTCGATGAAGTTCCGTGTAAACGAAATCAGAAGCAAGACGAGAGTTGAAGGAAAAACAAATTCTTCTTTATGATGAATCATAAATTAATAGATATTTCTTTCGAGTAGCGTAGGAGGGGGAAATGTCGAACATCAGACGAAATAGATCATCGTAAACCATTCCAGGGTCAAGGTTCATCCAGTTCCATAAGTTTTCGCAGCATTCCAAATTCTCTCCTCCAGTATGAAGTAGTGGTTTGAAGTAGCCGTGAAGATAAAAATTATGAGTTGAAGATCAGCATATTATTTTTAAGATTTTGCGTTGTAAACCCAACATTTCGTTCCTTGTAACTAGGCACCAATTTTATGGAGAAGGAATTGTAGGGTGCCATTTTATGGAGAAGCAGGATTCAGGGGTGCCAATTTTAAGTGGTGATGATGGAATAAGATGGATATCAGGTGAGGTTGGAGGTTTGTATTAGTACAGTGGGCCAAGTTGAAGATTGATGTTGAAAACAGAAGGGTGATGAAAATAATAGTTGAGCCGGATTAGAATTAATGAAAAAGCTTTTATTTAGTTGTATATTTGCAGAGCTCAAGTTACAAAATATAAAAATCATTCATAAGAATTTCAGTTGAATCAGTTTTGCATAGTAATATTAAAATAGGTCAGGCCATGGGAGACAATCCCCACGACCTGCCTAATCAAAAGCCAAATTAAAAAGTACATGTAATTTGTTCCGATCGGACACAGGAGAAGCATGGGTAGGAGATCCAAAATTGGCGATNTTAGTAGCTACTTTTGTTAGTTACTGAAGTATATTTCTTTCTGCTTATAAAAAATTAAGACCTCGTGGGTTTTAACGCGATAACAAATATTTATTTATAATTTAGAGATAAAGAGACTTCACGCGCACACACTCCAGAGATTTACTGTATATTATAAAAATAAACAAATATTGTGTTGCAAGGTGGAGGCTAGTACTGCTTCGACAGAATGAAAGATTTTGCTGAATATTATTATTATTTGTTGTAGGAGAATTCATTTTTTTAATATTAGTTAGGAGTATCACTGTTTTTCTCTGGGGTCATCAATTATTCATTTGTGGCAATAAATGAGCAACTTTATTCATGACTGATAAAATGCAGTAAAAATATGCATAATATATTTTTAATTCTGTTTTCTTCCGTTGTTTTTTGCTAAACAATGTGTGGTTTACCTGGAGCTTTTGGAGCTTGTTTTAAATTTCTGTATTTAAATTGTTAACTGTAAGAGGTTGTTAAACGTTTAACAATTGATTTTTTTATTGAGTCTATTCATCATTTTCACGTGAGGTCATTATTTTTTACTTAATAATTTTTCTATCAATATTTTAAATATATTTTTCACAAAATTAGACTGAAATAAAAAAGTTAAATACTTAAAGAATAATAAAAAAACAATTCCAGATTTACAAACTTATGAAGAATTCCGACTGATTCATGTTTGATTGAACTTATTTAAATGTAAATCAAATTTTCATTTTTAAATGTATATTTTTATGATGAAAAACTGTTTTATATTTTTATTAAAATTTTTTTTATTAAGAATATTTTATTTTTATTAAGAAAAACTAACAGAAACCTATTGTCGGTACATCTTTGGAAAATATTTTGTATTAAAAATAAAAGTTAGCTTTCAAACCTATTGAATTCTGCACAAAAGCCTCAATTTATAACAAAAAGAGAAGAAAAGAATAGCTTCCATTCCCCACTTAGGATAAAAACAAATTAAACTTTTCAGGTTGTTTTCGAACGACATCGTCACAACAGTTTGGAGCAGTTTCTATAAGTTCCGTGTCGAAGGACTGACACATTTGCTTATGCAATCACATTCAAATAACTAAAAGAAAAGTAATAAGAAATTATGATCTCAATAAAAAATACTTTTAAAAGATATTAATTAGATTCATTTGACTTAGTTTTAATTTTGATTAATTTTTTACTACAAAATAATGATTCAGTTTTTATTACAATCAATTTCTCATGGAGTTTTTGGAAGAAAAAGGTTGTTTGTTTAGTTAAAATAACTTCATAGACGTTTGTATGTTTGCCTGGTTATTTTTGGAATGATGTTTAGAATTTATTTTCTTTCCTCATGAAAAATTCAGTGCGATCGTAATAGTCTCTAAATAGCCTTCTTCTGATGAGAAGTAGTTGCACAACCATGCACAGAATAAAATTATTGTAATAGTCTGTTGAATCTATTCCAAAAAGAGGAAAATAATGGAAATGAATTTTTTCATAGAAAAATAAACATTGTTGAACAAAAAAATCTAGTTAAAGAGAGAGCTTTGATTTTTTGTAAATGTTCTTGAATATGAGTATTAAATTTGAGCATTTTGGTATATATTTTCTTTATTTGAAGAGGTAAACAATTAGTTAAACAGAAACATTAAAATTAATTAATTGTAAAATTGTAGAATTAATAATGAAACACAAAAATATTTCGAAAGGAAAGCAATCAAAGCAGACTCAAAATTAATTTATAATATATTACTTACAGTTCTATTTCTATAAACGCATTCTTAATAATTTAAACACAATTCCAATATTTTAAATAAAAAACAAATATCTTAAACGTCATGAAATATTTTTAAGTACAATATTATTTGATTGTTATAAAATTTAATGTTTTAGATTGCGATTACGAAAGTGTAAACTTGTAAAATTAGAAATGCATTTTTTTAAATTTGTAATGTTTTCATTTGGTGTTTCGTTAAA